TCTATCCTTGCTGCAAAGGAGAAGGGGAAGCTCATCTCTTTCTCACCACGGCCATAGAATTGACCTAGATCACAAAGATGTAACTTCTCTATCCAGCTATCAGCTTGATTGTGAGTAAATGATCTACTGAATGCATGTGAAGTTAAATAAAGATGATTTAAGCTCTCTTCAGTGGTTGTGCGTTGACTCACACCTGGAAAGTGTTGCCTTAGCTGCAGCTCACACTGGACAGGACATGCACAATGTGCCTGGCATGATGATGTCACCCAGAGGTGATGTCACCATGCTGGGCACATTGTGCGGGGGACACTCTAACATTTTTTGGGGGGATTCTATGGTTTCCATAGTTTTTTTACAGAAATGCTAGAGCGCCCCCATGTGACGTGCCCAGTGCCTGGAGCCCCCACCGGCAGACGGGAAGAACCTGGCAACCCTTTGTGGCTAACAGCCGTACTGTTGTAGAAGAGACAAATTCCATTAAGAAAAAGATGCAAGGGGAAAGAGGGAAAAACTGACTGTGGTGTGGTAGTACCAGGGCCCCAGTACAATTCAATCTTGCCCCATTTGGGTTTTTTTTTTTTTCCATTTTAAAGGAAGCTTTGAGAGATCTGGACATGAATCTCTCATGTAAGGTTGGTTTCTCCCTTGAGGTACAATTAGGTTGGCATTCCTCAGTTGGGGGTGGGGGATTGCCTGGTGTAGCGGGCTCCTTCCCACTATGGGCCAACTGGCCAACAAGAGGAAATCCCCTCCCCCAAACAGCAATGTTGCACGAAGTGCCTACATTAGCCAGAAGTGATGTGGGCACATCGGGGGTGATACTCTAATTTTGGGGCAAGACCAGGGCTCTAGTCGGGGGGGAGCTCTCAGGTACGGAGCTCCGGAAAAGAACCTCTAGGGGGCGGGGCGGTCACGTGGTGAAGCCCTGCCCCCTTCTTTACCCTGCCCTCTGCTTCGATCCTCATTCCGTTTGGGAATGAGGATGAAGCAGGAGGGTAAGTAGCCGGGCCTTCTGACACACTTCCGGTGATGTCAGGGGGTGTGGCCTTCTGTCACTTCCGGTGATGTCAGGGGCGTGGCATATGCAAATAAGTTATGCTAATGAGTTATGCTAATGAGCTCCGGCAGCTCTTTTTCTACAACAAGACCCCTGGGCAAGACTCTATGGTGACATTGACACATCAGGGGTGACACTCTGCCCTCTCAGTTCTGAAAGACTAGCAGTATCAGATTGTCCCCCACCCTGTAAGAACAAATACACTGAAAATGAAAATGTACACAATACAGGTGTTGCTTGGGAGAGGCAAGCTTCCTCCCCCCACACCTGTTCACTCTGACAGGGTTTTTCTCATTCTGAAAAGTACTTAGACTTACTAGTGATTTCAGCTCTCATACTTTATTTCAGCTCAGAACAAGACAACTCTAACTGGCTTGCAGGCCGGTTTATATGTGCAACAAATCCCACACCCCCCAAACACCCCTACACGCAAGTGATTGGCTATTTACAGTGGCCGAGAGTTCCATAGGCTCTCGGCCAGGAGCCTAGCCCTCCGATAGATGCGGGCTAGGATCCGCTTGTCCCATTGTTACTGGAAGCGAAGCTCAGCCACTTCGTATGACCGTGTGGCGACGTAGCCACACATGCGGTCGGAGATGGATACATTACCCACCCATTACATAGTGGAGATGAATACATTACCCAAAAGACACACACACACAAAGTCCTGCAAATAGGAGGGTGCTTTACGGGTTCTCGTTGAGCGGCGAGGTGCGGGAACCGGGGCAGAAGGTGACACCGCTGCACTCGGCTGAGAGATGGTCGGTGTTGGCAGTTGTGGTGCTGGTAGCACTGCTTCTCGGGGCATGGCCATGCTGTCTGTAGGAGAATCGAAGGGTGCCTCATTGTGCTGGGCAAGGGTGTCTGGTAGCTGAGGTGAAGTGGCAGCTTCCGGGGTGTCGGGGTCTTTGAAGTCCTCCGGGTCATATGGCAGTACCCGCTGCCGCAGCTGATCAATGTGGCGGTGTAGTATCTGTCTGTCCTCGCTGGAGACCTCGTACAACCTGGATCCCCGGACTCTCCCCACCTGGGCCGGAATCCATGGCGGGCCTTGCGCATAGTTCCGGACGTAGACCGGGTCCTCGGGAAAAAACCCTCTGGCCGCCTCAGGTGACTCCGTGGCTGGTTCTTCTTCCGGGACTCGATCGGGATGAAGGCGATCCAGCCTGGTCGTCAGGCGCCGGCCCAAGAGGAGCTCCGCTGGGCTGTGTCCCGTCGTGGTGTGGGGTGTCATTCTCTGGCCAAAGAGGAATGCTGCCAGCTTGTAGTCCCAGTCCTTGCTATCCAAGCAGCAGAGCGCATCCTTGGTCCAGAGCCTGATAATTTACTGTGTTGTGCCTTCTCTGCACCCCTAGTGGCTGCAGTGCAGAACTGCATTAGATGTAAAATAAAGCGGGATCCATTCTGAAGGCAGCATGACATTGGCTTCAGGGGCCCTCCAGCTGACTTGGGCCCTGGGAATTTTGTCCCCCCAGTAGCCATGAAAGTTACTGCAGCAAGCTGGGCCTCCAAGAGGTAGGCCTGGCCTTGCAAAAGTGACACTTCCATTACCCTCAGAGGGACCTGAACCCCTCCCTCCCCACTGCAGTGCCCTTCCCACTGAGCTACCAAGCAAGATTTCCTCCTGTAAGATTTATCTCTCCCATTCTTCCTTAGTCAAGGGCCTCCCGTCCCTCTCTTTTCTTTATCTATTTGTTTCTTTAATGCATTTTTATCCTGCCCTTCCTCCATGGAATTCAGAGTGGCAGAAAATATCACTCTCTCAGTCCCTCCCCTCCCATTTTATCCACACAACAAGGCTACAAGGTAGGTTAGGCTGCAAGGCAATGACAAGCCTGAACTTCTTACTCTCACACAGACACTTGGATAGACAGACTTGGATCCAAACTCAAGAAAAAGACTTTCTAACAACTCAGCCTTACTTGGGTATGGCTGACCTGGCCACCTGGATCCATGCCACAGTATCATTGAGACTGCAGTAAGAACATAAGAGAAGCCAATGTTGGATCAGGCCAATGGCCCATCCAGTCCAACACTCTGTGTCACACAGCGGCCAGAAATACCAGGTGCCATCAGGAGGTCCAGCAGTGGGGCCAGGACACTAGAAGCCCTCCCACTGTTGACCCCCCCCCCAAGCACCAAGAATACAACCACAGTAATGCACTGTACATTGGTCTCCCTTCCAAATCAACTCAGAATCTCCAGCTATTACCTGGAGCCTGATGGAGTATGCCTATTACCAGGGCTCTTTTGGTAGAAAAAGCCCAGCAGGAACTCATTAACATAATAGGCCACACCCAACAGCAGAAACACATTAGCATATTAGGCCACATCCCTGACAGCACAGCTCATTAGCACATTAGGCCGCACCCCCATGTTACCAGAAGTGTGCTCATCCAGCCACACCCACCTTTTGCTTCTTATTCTGTTGACCTTGTTTGTTGTCAAAACCCAGGGCTTTTTTGTAGCAGGAACTCCTTTGCCTGTTAGGCCACACACCCCTAATGTAGCCAATCCTAATGAGTTTCTGCTGTTGGGTGTGGCCTATTATGCTAATGAGTTCCTGCTGGGCGTGGACAACTCGGGAGCCAGCCGGAACTCAGTTCCTGTGTGTTCCTGCCCAAAAATAGCCCTTCCTATTACTCCCATTCTGCAGATGCTCCTTTGGCTACCCATCTGCTACTGGGATCAATTTCAGGTATTGGCTATCACCTGTAAAGTCTTTCATGGCCTTGGCCCCTCTTATTTGGGAGACCACCTTTCTCTCTGTTCCCCCACAACAACTTCGCTCAAGTCCGCAGGGACTTCTGCAGGTGCAAATGGGCAAGATCAACAACTGCCCGTACACGTGCTTTCTCCATTGTGGCTCTTGCCTTGTGGAATGGTTTGCCTGAGTGGGTCAGGAAAGCTCCTTCACTCCTGGCTTTCCACAAACTATGCAAAACTGAACTATGAGAGAGGCCTTTTCTGCACAGAGAACAGGGCTGGTCCTGTACAAAATGGTTTTACAAACTTGTTTGGATGAATGATTAGGGACTGTGATCTATGCTGCTGCGTATAGCTTTTTGTAAGTAAGATCCTATTTATGTAATTTCTGTCCCACTTAACGTGTTGCGTGAATACTTATGCTATAGTTCCATATATTCTGGTAGTTCCAGACTTTTAAAATCCTAAAGTGTTGGTTCCTGATGGTTCCATTTTGTTAATTGTACTGACTCACTGAGTTATCCACCTTGGGTCCCTGTGAGAAAGGCAGACTATGAGTAAGTTAAATACATAAATAAGAAGGTTATGGGAGATACATGGAAAAATCTACCCAGTGTTTGATATAAACCCTGAATGCAATGGTGTTCATAAATGTGTTCATAAATTTAGGGGGCTCATAAATGGTGTTCATAAATTTAGGCGGCTTTCCTCAGCAATCCCCAGGCACTAATGAGACTATTTTCAGTCTCTTTGTATTGTTGCTGGTTTCACTTGTGTTGTATATTATGGGGGACCGCGCACGCAGTCGGGGTTGTACACGCGGCCAGGCAAACGGCTGTAGCTTCGCATCAGAGAACAATCCAAGAATGGACCAATGGGATGGCTCGGCTGTGGGATCGAACCTATGGGATCTGGGGCGCATGGTATAGACCTGTCACAGGAAGCAGGGTGTGGTTTTAGTTGGGGATTTAAGCCCGTCTTCGAAGCGGCTATTTTGTTTTTTAGTTCGTGCTTACAATAAACTTATGAGCTTATTCACTACAACGCGTGTCGAACCCAATATTTTACAACTTGCTTCTCTCCCCCCCCCCCATTATTTTGCTTTCAACATTGCTCCTAAGAGAGCACACAGGAAACAAGCTAGTTACTTGAGGGAAAGGGGACCATCTTAACTGAAGCACAGGAGCTTATAGGAGGAAATCTACAGAGAAACATCAGGATCCACACCGTTTCCTACCTTGTGTTCCTGGGAAGCCTTCTCAGCATTTTTTTTTGGAATCACCTCATGGTTTTTGTGCTCCTTGGATCTGTCACAGACTGTACAGATAAGGATTTCATCAGTCTGGCAGAAAAGCTTGAGGGGCTCCCGGTGTTTCTCACAGATTCTCTCCTCGGCTTCTCCCCCATGGAGACTGAGTCTTTTGGCTATTTCGACAACGTTTGCCAGCTGCCGATTAGGCCGGAGGTCCCTGGTCCGAGCAGTTTGTTTGCACACCGGGCAGGAAGCCTCTGCTGTTTCAGATTCTCCCCAGCTCCGAGTCAGGCAGTCTCGGCAGAAATGGTGCCCACACTCTGTGAGGATCACTGGATCGCTGAAATACTCCAGGCAGATGGGACAGGTGAGTTCCTCAGAGAGCTCCCTGACCGGATCTCCGGTAGCCATGGCCGCCTCGCCCTTGAAGAGAAAGCCAGGATCTTACTTTTGTTTACAGTCCTTTCAGGTGTGGGTGTTTCCCTTCCTGGAAATGACTCCACTTCTTAGCTGCCTTGCTGCATTTTTTTCAAGGGCTAAGAAGTTGGGCAAAACTTACCTTTGGAAAGAGAGAGAACTTGAGGCTTCTGAGGTCTGTAAAGTATTTCCTTTTGGGGAGGAGGGAACAAATGTATAGCTGAGGCAGGGATGCCCTCCCAGGCAACAGATGTGGCACCCCACTTCAGACCCCCCCCCCGAAAGGGAGGGATCCTGCCCAGCCCTCGTTTATCAGCCAATTCTCCACTGAGGCTGCCGGCTCCTCCCGGTCTCTTCAAAAATCCAGAGTGCTGATCAGGGGTCGTTTCGTAGAAAAAGAGCTAGGGGGACTCATTAGCATGGGTGGGGAGAGGCAGGGAGGAAATAACTTACCCTCCCTCTTCTCCTGCCTCCTCCTGGCTGAATGAGGGCCGGAAGCGGGGCGGTCGGAAGCAGGGGGCGGGGCTTCGTCATGTGCCCCACCCCCGTACCTCACCCGGGGGAACTGCGATCCCCCACGATCCCCCCCGAAATGACCTCTGGTGCTGATTCCTCCAGAGATCCCCTGGAATTGCAGCTCATCTCCAGACTGCAGAGATTAGTTCCCCTGGAGAAAATGGCTGCTCTGAAGGGTGGACTCTAGGGCATTGTGCCCCCTTGATGCCCCTACCCTCTCCAGGCTCCGTCCCCCAAATCTCCAGGAGTTTCCCAGCCTCGATCTGGCAACCCCACCTGCCCCGCCAGTGGGGACCTGACAACCCCACGGCATTGTACCCCACTGAAGTCCCTGTCCTCCCCAGGCTCCATCCCCAAATCTCCAGGAGTTTCCCATCTGGCAACCCACCCACCCCATCCCCTGCAGGTGGCCAGGGGCACCTGGCAACCCTAATTACACAGCAGTGTTGACTGGAGCATCCATATCCCAGGACATCACCCACTGTTTCTGTTGTCTACGCCACTTTACCGCAGCCTTCCCCAAATACAATTTGAAGCGCTCTTTTTGGAAAGGCTGCAGTCAAGAAGCCTATGAAGGCTGCACAGATGACAAGATGTGCCTGTTTGCAGGTCCCGCCATCTAAGTTGGCGCTGTTTCCTGTACCTCAGTCACCCTAGCAGTTTTAAGAAATCCATAATACCAAGATCACTGTTAGAGGGAAGGCACTGGCTGCACATTTCTCCCTATAACTCCACAATGAAAAGGACTACGGACTTGGTTCTTTCTTCAGTGGAACATGGGAACAGTGTTGCAGTAGGTGAATTTTGGTCCAGCCCACGTGGGTCATTCTCGTTCCTGATGGAATTCAAACCACGAGAAAAGATCTCCATCTTGGAATGGAGGAACAGGGTATGCCTTCTGAGTGATGCTGCTCCTCAGAGCCAGACTAGACATGTACTTTTTAAAAGAGCTGGGTCCACATCCCCCTGACCCAACTCAGCTTCCCTGCACAGCAGCTACTGGGAGTGGCTATTAAAAAAAAATAAAGCAGAGCCCATTGGGGCTGAAAATGCCACTGTGGACAGGAAAGACTCTCGCTCCCCCTCCCCAGCCATTTCCCAGGGTGAAACAGCACACGGGAGGAGTTATTTCCCAGTCTTTGCTGCTCTGTGTGGGCCCTGTGCACATAGAATATTCCATATACAGCAGCAAAAATGCAAAACAGCCAAGTTCTTACAGTGCATTTAACTAGAAGTCAGGCTAGTTTAGACTTTGGATCCTCACCTAAACAAAGAGTTCAAGGATCCAATTCACATGGAGAGCGGATCTCAGCTCTCCCTTGTATCGAACCCAGTTTGGATCCAAAGGGGCAAGGAGAGAAACACAATAATCCATTTCTACCAATGGGACCACTAGAATCTTCTGAACATTTTCCAGCCAAGATGTCCATCAGTTCTCTAGCTAGAAAGACAGTGGGCTGGTGATCTTTTCCTGCCCTTTTAAATGTGGCACAGAGGAATGTCCAGGTCTCATCACAAGTTTTTCTCATCTATATTCCCATTATTTAAACTGTGGTTGTTTCCTCCATTTCGGGGGTGTATGTGGTGGGGATAGTATTTATGACCAGATATGGTGGTAGCAAAAAGCTGCCATACTAGTAGGGCAAGGCCCTAATATGGCTGGGACAAACCACACAAAGAATAGCTGTTTTGGGGACACTGCCACCCAGATCCCATCTGGAAGCCCATAGAAGCAAAAAGCCGCTTACCATACTAGTAGGACACTGATCTAGTATGGTCGGGTATGGAGGTGTCAAAAAGCTGCTCACCATACTGTGACTCAGTGGAAAAGCTTCTACTTTGCATGCAGAAGGTCCCAGGTTCAATCCCCAGCATCTCGAGTTAAAAGACCCAGACAATAGATGATGTGAAAGACCTCTGCCTGAGACCCTGGAGAGCTGCTGCCAGTCTGAGTAGATGATACTGGCCTTGATGGACCAAAGGTCCGATTCAGTATAAGGCAGCTTCATGTACAGGTAATCCTCCTCCATTTTCCTCATCCTCGTATTGTATTGTGTACTGGATGAATTACACTATTATCTCACATTGCATTGGATATTGGATGTATTATACTCTTTCTCTCATTGTTCCTCTAACTGTGCGATCCAGTTTTACTGCATTATTTATTGTATGTATTTTACTAGTCTTTATCACACTGTTTTATATCTGTCTGACAAAGGTACCTCACAAAGGGAGCATTGACTCTCAAAAGCTTGCACTCTCAAAATCTTGTTGGTCTTGATTCAAATCTGTTTTAAATCTATGTACGTAATTGTAATGGACCACCCTTGTTTATCATGGCATTGTGTGTAGTAGTATAGCCAGGGGATCATAAGATTGTCTGGCAGTCAGAAGTTCTAGCTCTTTTACTGTTATGCACCGCTAGGTGGCAAACTAGACTTGTTTTTTAGGCAAGAGACATTTCAAAGGTGGTTTGCCATTTCCTGCCCCTGCATCACAGCCCTGGTATTCCTTGGAGGTTGCCCATCCAAGTACTAGCCACACAGTCAGCCCTGCTTAGCTTCTGAGACCTGGTGAGATCGGGCTAGCCTGGGCTACATAAGACAGGGCTTCCCAAGTCATGGGAAGGCGAGTCCTCATTACAGGAGGACATCCGGCCCCCAAGGCCTGCCTTGGCCAGACCCTTCCTGTGATGTGGATTCCTCAGTGCTTCACATCAGGGATCCTAAGCCAGCGGGGCCCTCAAGCCAGGAGGCCCCAACATGGGCTTGCCCACTGCCAGATCCCAGGAGCGGAGAAGGTGAAGGGCAAGGGCTGACGCTTCTACCCGGTGCAGGCGTGCATGTTTGGGAGTGCAGGAGGCATTATATTTTACCGTGTTTGCAAATGCATTTGGACGTGTATTCCCATGCCTTAGTTACCTTTTTACTTTCTTACGGGGATCCAGAAAGGACTCTAGCGGTTGCAAACATTTTTTTTACTCTTTTTGTCTATTGGGTGATAAGTGATAAGCAACAACTGTCCACTACTCATGATGGATGTATCATAGAGATTTTATTGGATAAAAGAAGCACATGCTTGGTGGCCCAGGGCCTCCGCTCTGCTGAGGAAGTGCGGGGAGGGATCAATAAGTCATTGTGGGATCTGGGCCCCACTACTCCTCACGAGTAGAGGAGCTGACGCGGCTTGGGCAGAGGAGCCTCACTGTGGGACCCAGCATCACCGGTAGGGAAATCCCCTGTATGTCTGCAGTAATAATAATTATCGTATGGCCTTGTGTGTAGTACAGCCAGGAGAATCAGTGTTCCCTCTAAGCTGAGTATGTGTGAGCTAGCTCGTCGGTTTTTAGCCTCCGGCTCACACCTTTTTGTCTCCGCTCAGGAAGGGATGGCTCCAAAGCCAACTAATTTATGCAGTAGCCAAATCACTCACTCGCAACTTTAATGCCAGCAGCTCACAAAGTAGAATCTTGCTCACAAGACTCCACAGCTCTTAGAGGGAACATTGCAGGAGATAATAAGATAGTTTGCAGTGAGGCTGAAGCAAGCATGGGATTGGCCAGTCTGTAGGCTCGCTGACTATTTCACATGTTGCCTGACCTGTTTGTTGCTAACTCTTGGAACCTTGTTGCCTGAACCTTGGACTCTGGATCCCATTACTTGACCCTGGGCCTTTGACTTTGGACTGGCATCAGAGAACCATTTGCCATGGGACACTGCTGTTGCCTGGGGCTTGCCTCCAGCCTGGTGAGCAAGAGAGTAATCAACCTGGACGAGGCTGTTCCTACTTCCGTTCATTGTGGGCACAGCAACTCCCACTGCCATCCAAAGCTGGCAGGCCATTTTTTGGCTCCTGGTTTTATTTCCTGATGAGTTATGCCAGCCACAGACTGACAACTGTCATTCCCAGTGCAAATATAATTGGGGGGGGGGGTTCCAGTGATGGCTTGGGTGAGGGCTTTCTGATTGCCTTTGTTTTTGCCACTGCAGCTCCCATGATCACTCTGAAGCGTGTGGTCAATTTTGAGGCCCCTAGCTTTATTTTCTGATGAAATATGCCTGCTGTAGACAGACACAAATACCCCTTATTTATCGTAAATTCTCTTGCTTCCTTGAAACATCTGCTTCAGGAAATGATGCAATTCATATCCTTGGCTTAGCTGTCATTAGTAGACTACAACAGTGATATTTTTTTAAATCCTCATTTATTTTTACACGTAACTTCTGCATTGGGCTACCATATGTACTTTCTTGGTTCTCAGTGCAAGCATACACATTTTTTTATGTTTCTCTTTAATTGCCTACATTAGTTTCCTGCCTGTTCTCATGGTGATGGAAAGTCTCATCAAGGTGGCCAGCCCATAGGGGAGTGGTCCCCAAAAGTGGTGCCTGTGAGTGCTATGGTGCTTGCCAACACTTTCCCTGGTACCCACCAAGTGTTTTGAGAAAGTGGGTGAGGCCAGGTAGGGCTTTTGCTCAGCAAGACTTCTGACTGGCTGTGCAGATTTTTAAAAACACAGCATTGGCAGCAGCTGCCACCAAAGCACAAGGATCTTCACAGTGTGACTGAAGGTAAGCTGTGGCAGCCATTTTGTGGCTGCAGCCACCACAGTATGTCAGAACTGCAAAGGTGCCCGCAGGCTCAGAAAGGTTGGGGACCTCTGTACAGAGTTTTTGAAGCACAAGATGAACTGAGCTGATTTGCCATTTCCTGGCTCTGCATAGCAGTTGTGAACGTTCTTGGTCTCCCATCCACATACTAACCAGGGCCAGTCCTGTTTAGCTCCTGACATCTGACCCGATCAGGCTAGCCTGAGCCATCTAGGTCAGGGCACCCGTTCCCATATCCAGCACAAATTTCTCAGGATGCAAACAGCAGTTATGGGAAATTATTTAGATCAGACAAGGGCATTGGGGAATGGATTAAAACCCTTTCCATTGGTGCTGCTTCCCCATTGGCACCTCACATTAGCTGTAAGAACAAAACACAAGGGAACAATCTTGTCTAGTTGGTCCCTGAGTAGCGTAACAGAGTAAGTTTCTCTATCTCCACATCTGTTGGAGGTCCGAGGGGACCAAAATAAAGAAAAAACTGAAAACACAGTGCAGAGAGGGTCATGAAGCCTGGAGCTCTGTTTGTCAGTAGGGCCTCAAAATGTATTTTCAAACCAAAAGATACTATTTCAATACGTATTAATACTTTTTATTTAAGACATCAATATGGCTGCCTTTTTTCAAAGCATCTCAGGACCGCACACAGGTAACAATAAAAAATTGATAAGATAAACATTAAAACATACCTAGAAACATCAACAACCAAACACGTTCTACCCCCACCAGAAAGGCATACCACCCTCCCTCCCCCAGGCTGCTCTATCTTACTGTGCCTTTTTGTTAGTTTGTTAATGTTTTGGTGACTAAAATAAAGTCTGCAGAGACCCTTACACAGATGAAGAAAGGACTCATGAACAACTCAAGGTTTGGTTTCTTTTGTTAATCATCCTGAACTGTGGAGTATCATCAGCAGGGCTTGAGAGGAAGATTCATGAGAGACTGGTTTAAGAAAGGTCCCAAAGGAGGGATCTTTCGAAAAACAAAACAAGGCATGGAGGGCCTCTCCAGAGAAGGCGGCACCTGAGAAAGTGTAGAGTGGAGCTGCTCTGTCGGCATCGAAAAAGGCCACTCTCCCCCCAGCGTAGTTGAGGGAGACTCGGATCCTCTTGATCTTCCCACTCTGAGGCAGATATGGGAATGAATAATTTTCAACAGCTTTGTGGGGGTTCATAGTCCATATCCCTTCCTCAGGAGAAACGTTTATCCAGGCCTTTCTGTTCACTGACTTTCTGGCAACGCCCACACTCCATTCACCACCACTGCTTTTCACAATGACCTCCCAGAAATGCCGGCCTGCTGTGAACCCCTCCCATCCCAGCACAAAAGCCATCTCCTGGAACCTCTCGGGATTTGGGGGCAGAGCTTCACTTTTGTTTCCCCATTTCAGGCTTTTACGATCCTCTGAGACAATGAGTTGTGGATAAGCTGTGTATGGATCCAGAGTCACATTTGCTGTTGGAGGAAGCGAAGTAAGAGAAGCGGTGTTAGCGGGAAGACTGATAGCCACTTTATACATTCAACTTGCATAGTTACTAACAGATATGTATCAATCCCCTGTGGATTTCTTTGGTTGTTTAAATGGTTTTCACTCACTCTCCAGATGCAAAGTCATTTGACTCCTGGACAAAGGTAGCTTTGGATTATGGATTGCTATAAAGAGAAAAGGTTGGAGGAGAGTTTTACAGATACCACAGACTGCCAAAAAGACAAATAAGATTCTAGATCAAATCAAGTCTGAACTCTACCTAGGAACTAAAATGACCAAACTGAGGCTACTGCACTTTGGTCACATTGTGAGAAGACAAGACTCACTGGACAAGATAATAATGCTAAGAAAAGTTGAACATAGCAGGACAAGAGGAAGACCCAACAGGACACAATCAAGGAAGCAAAGGCCCTCAAGTTTGCAAGGCCCAAGGCAAGGTGTTTTGATTTATTGGGTTAATGTAAATCAGAAGTTTCTTGATGGCACTTCATATATAAAAAACTTGGAAGATATCACTTAGATTAGCTAGGCTGGAGAAAACTGTAGACACAGATCTTACCACTGTGCAACCATTTGCTATTTGGTCTTATTTCTTTACTGTCCTGTTCCTGTTTCATGTCCGTAAATCCCCTTAATTTTCATTGAGTAACAATTGCTGGTAATCATTTATCCATTTATTGGCATACTGAATGCTATATCTTACCCAAAGAAAGTTGAAATTACTATCAGTCTGCATTTTCTCACTGTTTCTGTATGACCCACAAGGCCAAAACAGGACCAGATCTACACCTCTTGCTTTCATATAAGGGAAGGAGTGATGCTAATGCCTGCTGCATTACCACTAGTGGTAGTTAAACTTCACCCAAGGAATCTCCCTGAGAGCAGTTCCCCAAGCATGATGGTACCAATCCACAGGGACTCAGAAAGAGACTGCTTCCCTTGAACTTCTATCTTGGAATATGGCTGGATGGACACAATTCATTTCTCAGCAAGTGGATAGTCCTTTCTTCTGTTGGAATTACGATATTATTCTTGTATAGGAGACTTGGTCAGATGCTGATTTAGTTTTAGAGGGTTTTAATTCTTTTAGAGTTAATGCAGTACCAGGGCATGGGCCGGGGTAACTGAAAGGGGGGTTGGATATTTTAATACCAACATCTTTAAAAGTAAAATGTATACCAAAATCTCCCTTGGGACAATTGGCGATGGCTGTGAATTTATCATGGGGAAGGAAAAATCTGACGATTATAAACAGCTATTTACCCCCTCTAAGTAAAAAATCTGAAATAGAAGAAACTTGGATGTCCCTAGAAGATTATGTAAGGGCCCTAATGCTGGAGCATCCTGAGGCCATGCTACTTCTAGGTAGTGACTTGAATGCACGGTTGGGCCCAGACGATGCTTTTCTGGTAACCAAATTTTAGCTTCAGATCAGCACGTCAGAGGAATCTTTAGGGTCTATGAGTCAAGAGATCGTGTTTAAAGATCAACAAGCAAACTATGCAGGGGCTTGCCTCTTTAAGTTTTCCTTTAGGTTAGGACTCTCTATTTTAAACGGGTCTACTATTAATGATTCCCCTGGTGAATTCACTTACATGGCTGGTGCCAAAGTGAGTAAAATTGACTACATTTTAACCTGCAGAACCTTTAACTTCCCTGACCAAGAAATTTCAAGTACTCCCATACTTGGAGGGTGACCATTTTTCGCTATTTTTGCAGGTCATTTCAAATCCTGAGGACCCTCATCTGACCTCCAGATATTCTACCATGGTTCAACCTACAGAAAGGTTTGGCTGTCCAGTGAGATGGTCTCCCACTCTAGGTCAACGTTTAAAAGAACTTTTAAAGTCGGGTAGTCTAGCACAAGGGCAGTCAATGGTAGTTCAAGACCCTATAGAAGCATATGAAAATCTCATACAAAATATATATCCTTTTCTTCTTCACTTTCCTCCAGTCAAGGATGTTAAACCCTTCAATCTACTTAAACCATGGTTTAATCAAAGATGCATAGCGGTCAAAACTGCTTTGAATAGGGTCTATCACCTATACCGAAGTGCTGATGAGGGAGCTGTGGTAAGAAATATTAGAAAGATGGAAGGTTTGGGTTTAAAATGAACCAAACAGTTTATGAAATCCATATACATCTGTCTTTGAAAACAGGCTTGACCTTTTTACTAAAGATGTAAAAACATTCCATTCCCAGGAAAATCACTGGTGTGAGACTTGCCAATACCCTCAATTTCCTAGGCAATTAGGATTGCCTAGACCATTTGGGAAGTGACAGGCTTCAATCCCAAAGGCAAGACTGCAATCCATAAAACTAGCTTCCTGAGATACAGAGAGTTCACACACACACCCTGCTTTCATCTCTCTGATAACATTAAAGCTCAGTTTATTTCCCATGATTGGGAAACACCAGGAGTAAACAATGACTCTGTATTGATCTTATGGAATGTGAACTCTTGTTACATGAGACCAAGGAAGGGAAACCAATTTCCTGAAAGACAATTTCAAGTTCTAAGTGTTAAATTTTAACTGCAATCCTATTCTATCAATGTTTAGGAAATAGGATTCTACTGTGTGGCAGGCTGACATAGCGTCTTGCGGTCATCTTGCCAGACAAATCTTTGAATGTTCCTTTTAATAAAGATTAGTCTTATTTTAAGAAGAGACCTAGTGATTTCCAAGCTTGCACATCTGCCTTGGTAAGAGGCGACACTCAGGAGACACACACGAACTGAGGGGGGAGAGTGTGGGTGACATGGGTAAACACGCTTTCAGAGACAGGTGCAGACACACACCCACATCCAGAATCTCACAACAGGAGCTAAGCAAGAAACTCTTTTCTAACTTCTGTCCAAAAAAAAGGAGTACAAATTATTGATAAAACAGAGAGAGAGTACTCCAGAGAACTGTGGCTAGAGCTCATCAATGCGGCCAAAAGTAAAAATACATCCCTTTTCTGGAAGTTAGTTACCTGTAGAGTGACAGGTGCTAAGTCTCCAATAACTGCCTGTATTCCTGCAGATAGATGGGTCTCCTTCTTTAAGAGAACTGTACAATGATACTGATCATTCTCCACCAGTGGTAATATTAGAACATACCATGGAATGGTTCCCCATAACAGTTGGAGAGATTGAATCCCTTATTGGGCGGCTAAAAAAATGCCAAGGCCCCAGGATCAGATGGCATTCTACCAGAATTCTAAAAGAGAAGAAGAATTGGTGGGACTCTTTTCTAGCTCCCCTTTTTACCCATATTAATAATATGGATCATATCCCCAAGTCATGGGGTTTAGCTATAGTTGTCCCTTTTTATAAAACGGCTAAGAAGACCCATCCAACTATAGACCAATCAGTTTGCTAAACATCATAAGCAAACTTTATGCAGGACATTTATTAAATAAATTCCTAGACTGGTTAGAACAAGAAAATATCTTGCTTATTGAACAGGCAGGCTTTAGACTAAGCAGGTCTACACTTGATCACTGCCCGATACTACAGCACTTTATTGAGAAATATTCAGCCAGGGAAGCAACATCGCTATATGCTGCATTTGTTGATCTCAAATCTGCCTTTGATTCTGTTTCCAGAACTCGGCTCTTGAACAAATTCAAAAAAGATTTGATAAAAGACTTTTGTTTTTACTATAGGCCCTGCACGATCATACCTTTCTAAGTCAGATGCAGTAGATTTGGCCATCTTACTGATCCCATTAAGAGGTGTCAGGCAAGGATGTCTACTAGCTCCAGCCTTATTTATTTTTTATATAAATAATATAGTTAGTTGGCTTAACACCTCTGATCTTCATCCCACTAAACTTGCCAACCAGCATATATCCGTTTTACTCTATGCTGATGATGCCGTGATAGTATCTCGAACCCCAGCTGTTCTTAGGCGAGCCCTAAAGAAGCTCATCATGTTTTGTGAAGAGGAGCTTCTCAGAATTAACTATCAAAAAACCAAAATTGTAGCCTTTCGGAGTAGGCCAAAACCCAGGAACTGGGCAATAAATGGCCATCAGATAGAACAAGTTGACAGTTTTAAATACTATCAGTTTGGTGTAGTTTTAAATACTGTCAGTTTGGTGTAGTGGTTAAGTGTGCGGACTCTGATCTGGGAGAACTGGGTTTGATTCCCCACTCCTCCACTTGCACCTGGCTGGATGACCTTGGGCAAGCCGTAGTTCTGATAAGAGCTGTTCTTGAAGAGCAGTTTCTGTTAGAGCTCTCTCAGCCCCACCTACCTCACAGGGTGTCTGTTGTGGGGAGGGGAAGGGACTGGAGTAAACAATATCTATTGGGTCCCCCTTGTCCACATGTTTGTTCACCCCCTCAAAGAACACTAACAGGTTAGTGAAACAAGATCTTCCCTTACAGAACCCATGCTGAGTCTGCCTCAATAGGTTTTGTTCATCTATGTGCCTACTAATTTTTTCCTTAATAATGGTTTCCACAGGCAAGCATAAACAGAGAGGCGATAAAACCACTTATGCAGCACTCTTAAAAGAACGGAAAAAACTTGAGATTTTAGAAATGAATCAAATCCAAAAAAATATTCTATACTCTAAGCAAAGAGGATGGGCATTTACTCCCAAGTCACTGCAATTTTTAAGTAAACGTCTAAAACAGCAACAACAAACTAGAAATATCAATGAGATCAAAGATGCCAATGGCAAGAGCTTCCAAGATTCCAAAAAAATATCTAATGTCTTTAGAAATTACTATACACAACTATATAGTTCAAAGATAGAAAATTCTACCAATATTGAAAATTTTTTTAAGGATAACCCTATCCTGCATACATTGTCAGAAATCCATCATGATAAAATGGAAGCTCCAATCACTCCATGGGAAGTCAAACAAGCTATTAAAAACCTGAAATCTGCTAAAGCCCCAGGCCCGGACGGTTATACTCCGGAATTCTACAAACAATTTGCTACAATATTAGCCACCCCATTGGCTAAT